AGAGGTCAGATGGCACATGCAGGCAGACAGGAGTGAGTTGCAGTAGTTTAGGCATGAGATGACAAGAGCCTCCTGAGTTAGGAATGTCACAATGTGTAATAACATAATATAACCACACAGTGAACACTAAAATCCTTCAACATATTGTTCTAACTGACATGTGGCACAAACGATTTTGTTGGGTAAAATATTGTAGCTTCTCAGTGAATTTCTGTAAGCTAGAGTTTACTCTCTCTCACTGTGTTTCTGTTTGATCATTCAGATGTCAGCTTTAGTAGCTACTTTAGTAATATCAGAGCTTTGTTAAGTTGGTGCTCATGTAGATTCAACATTTCCTGCTGCTGCTTCACATGAAAGTTTTCCACAAGCAAACCAGTGGGAGGCTTATATTGTGAATTAGCTATAGCCTATAGGACCAGTGTGTAGGAGCGTCAAATTAATCTAGTTGGGTGGCTTTGTGTAGGAATGTCACGAAAAGCATCAGGTGTTGATGGACAGAAGAGCACAAATAGTTTTTTGACCACTATGCTAGGACATGCTACAGGTAAACGCTGTGTTGTTTTATTTGTGAATAATGTTGTCTGTGTGGAGATTATGGACAATGGTTAGGGATTCTTAACAAACTGAAGACCTTTAACGGTAACATTCACTCGGCACAACAAAGCGGTGCCACAAGCCCCTCAATTATTAGCCTGTCAATATAAACCTCAGTGGCTTTAAGTTTAGGCATAGCCGCTACAGAGTGTATTTGTCCCAGACATTACATTACAGAGCTTTGTTTGAGGTGCTGTTCAATAAATAGAGGTTTATAAAGCAAGAGATAAACATATTCTGCATTATTTGATCAGTAGATCAGTTTTAAATATTGCACAGATGAATGAACAGCCACTGTGAGCTGTTTATGTGAAGAGCTGCAGATGAGCTGCTGAGGCTCAGCCTGTCGCCTCTCTTGTCAATCACAGATGTATGCTGACTCAAAGTCAGAAGATGACAGAAAATTTAGCATTTCTGATATTGCCCTAAAACTGCTAATTTTTATTGGTTATATGCAGTTTCTTAAATTTTCTTTGTTTTGTCTCAAACTTTTTTCTTTTTATTAGTGAGTGGTGGTCTGCAGGAGGTTTTAGATGAACATAAGATCAGTCTGCAGACGAGGTGTAAACATGTGACTGAAGGAACTGATGAAACAGGAAGTGGAACCCTCCTCAACAGGATCTACACTGAGCTCTACGTCACAGAGGGACAGAGTGAAGATGTTAATACCCAACATGAGGTGATGCAGCTTGAGACAGCTCCCAAGAAGAAGACCCTCCATGACACTCCAGTCAAGTGCCACGAGATCTTTAAAACCTTACCTGACCAACAGAGACACATCTGGATTTCCACAACAAGGTGGTTGTTTCCAACGTCACACAGAAGTCTTCAGTCAACTTGCTGTTGACAAACCTCATCAAGGGGAAACTGCTTCCCTCGGCTCTCGTCTGGATAACTTCCAGACCTGCAGCAGCCAATCAGATCCCTCCTGAATGTGTTGACAGGGTAACAGAAGTACGAGGCTTCACGGACACCCAGAAGGAGGAGTACTTCAGGAGGAGAGTCAGTGATGAAGATCTGTCCAGCAGGATCATCTCACACATCAAGACCTCCAGGAGCCTCCACATCATGTGTCTAATCCCAGTCTTCTGCTGGATCACTGCTACAATTCTGGACCACATGTTGACTACAGACCAGAGAGGAGAGCTGCCCAAGACCCTGACTGACATGTACTCACACTTCCTGCTGGTTCAGACAAAGAGGAAGAAGCAGAAGTATGATGAAGGGCATGAGAAGAGTCCACAGGAGCTGATGGAGGCTGACAGGGAAGTTCTTCTGAAGCTGGGGAGGCTGGCGTTTGAACAGCTGGAAAAAGGAAACATCATATTCTACCAAGAAGACCTGGAGCAGTGTGGTCTTGATGTCACAGAGGCCTCGGTGTACTCAGGAGTTTGTACAGAGATCTTCAAAAGAGAGAGTGTGATCTTCCAGAAAACAGTCTACTGCTTTGTTCATCTGAGCATTCAGGAGTTTCTGGCTGCAGTCTACATGTTCCACTGTTACACCAACAGGAACACAGACGTGCTGAAGAACTTCCTGGGAAAAGACTGCAGTGACTCACCCTTGGATGTCTTCTTGATAGGAACCATTGAGAAATCCCTTGAAAGTAAAAATGGCCACCTGGACCTGTTTGTTCGCTTCCTCCATGGCCTCTCTCTGGAGTCCAACCACAGACTCTTAGGAGGCCTGCTGGGTCAGACACACAACAGTCCAGAAATAACCCAGAGGGCCATCAACAATCTGAAGAAGATGAACGTGTATAATATCTCTCCTGACAGAAGCATCAACATCTTCCACTGTCTGATGGAGATGAACGACCACTCAGTCCATCAGGAGATCCAAGAGTTCCTGAAGTCAGAGAACAGATCAGAGAAGAAACTCTCTGAGATCCACTGTTCAGCTCTGGCCTACATACTGCAGATGTCAGAGGAGGTTCTGGATGAGCTGGACCTGAAGAAGTACAACACATCAGTGGAGGGACAACGGAGACTGATTCCAGCTGTGAGGAACTGCAGAAAGGCTCTGTAAGTCCAGATGTGATTAATATTATGAAGCAACATGAAGTTGATCAGTTTTAGAGTTAACATACACACTTAACACATGAACAATATAAAACCTCCACACTAAAAAAGTTGAAATAATTCTGCATTAAACTATGTAAAAAAAATCATGTTTATGTTTATATCAAGTTAGTGAACACAATTATCTTCTATCATCTTCTAAATGTCTTTCTTTGGGTGATGGAACCCTGATACAAATCCAGCAGTAAAACTCATCATTTTATAACAACAGTATTTATTTTTAATTCATTCAATTAAATGTGCAACTTTACATTGTTTAGTTATGTTTAGTTGTATGTATATTTTCATATTTTGCTACATTAGAAATTAGTTTGATTTATAAACAGTGAGGAGTCTTTCTCTCTCTCTCTGGTGGTATTTCAATGGACTGGTCTATAAACTGTTTTTTTCCAAAGCTACTTGAGTAATGTTCATTGATAGAGTTTTTCAAAGCTTGTCCCATTTTTAAAATGTTCCTGGTCCATCTGGTCACCGTAATGTCACTCACATTAGTATTTAAGTTTATAATTAAAGCTGCAAGCAGTGATAATCAGGCTCTCGCAGTCCACGCGCATCGGGGTGTGCACATGGCTGAGATAAATGTATATGAGTGCAGTTATAAGCTACAGAGATTTACATTCACAAATCTTGTGATCAATAGCTGACCAACTGACAGCTGAGCTACAGCTGCTCATGTTAATGTGCTTTGTGATGCAAATTATTTTTTAATAAACTGTTACCTACTACAGGGAGTTAAAACAGTCTAATATTAATACTGATACCTCTATTTGACCTACATGAGAAAACAAGATCCATGAGCAAGAAGGTTGGTCATTTCTATATGGTTCTTCTTAATGTCTGCTACTGGGTCGGATATGGTTGGATTCCCCTTGAAATCAATGAAAGGAGGCAGTGGGAACACTACTGTTTTTGTCCATAAGGGGTGCAAGAATCAACACAAAATGAAAGTTCCTTGTTGCTGCTTTAAGTTTTATATTCTCTGTCATCACAGAATTTCTGGCTGTAAACTCTCAGAGACTCATTGTGAAGTTGTGGCCTCAGCTCTGAAGTCCAACCCCTCCCATCTGAGAGTGCTGGACCTGAGTAAAAACAAGCTGCAGGATTCAGATATGAAGCTGTTGTGTGCTGGACTAGAGAGTCCACACTGTGGACTGGAGACTCTAAGGTCAGTTCATGTATTTTGCTCTTGTACAATGTACATCTGCCAAATTAAAACTTATAACTGAAGTTCCCTTGAGTTCTTTTGTTTTGTGGGTTTGTTTTGTTTCTTCCTCCAAATTTAGTCTGTACTCAAACTGGATTCATTTTGGAACTGTTCAAGAAATCTGAGGCATGCAAGTGGGCAGTGATTTTAAAATGCCTTTCATATCTCATGACTATTTAAAGCGGCATTCAGGGCGTCATGGGAGAAAATGCATAAAGGGCTGTTTCCTATATCTGTTAGCAGTTCGTCACATGATGAGTTTAGACAGTTAAAGTGATGACAGACCATGTTCAGCAAGGGAATCCACATATCAAAATGTCAGTATTGAACAACAAAAGACAAACAGAGAATTATATACACAACATTTTAACATTAAAATGTTCTTTACATCCAGACACGAATCCAGACAAGAAGACAGATCTCATTCCTCATATGACTAAAAACACAAAGTTTTTTAATACACTGTATTTGCATAGGAAGGTACTTGGTTACATTTAAGATTAAGAGAACAGGCAGCTCACTTGCTCAGTGCACATTTGATCGCATCTTGTTATAAAGAAGATTGAGGATGAATCAGTCAATGTGTGTTGATGGAGATCAAAATAATCTAGATCTGTGGTTTGAAATGAGAGCATCAGAAGTGCTGGGACAAGTGTTCAAGAGGTTTTTAATGTTTTGTTTTTCTGTAAATTATGATTTATTTTAGTCTTATTTGTTTCATATTGGCCCTTTTTAGTATTCTGTAGAAAAAAAATCTGTCTTAGTATTTTTGATAAAGTAACACAAGAGTGAATTAGAAGATACAAGAAAGTGAAAGTATGAAATAAAAGTAACAACATGTTTGATTTGATCGGTATTACAGATTTGACTGAGATCAGCAGCATGTTATTGATCAGTGTTGACATAAATAGGTGTATGAATGTTGTGGTGACATTTAGATGATGCCTGTAAAAGGCTGACATTATGATGATCCACAATAACAAAATGATGAAGTCACTCTACTCATTTTAGAGAAAAGCTCATTGATTAGGACAGTAAGATTGAGCTACACATTTAAAACCTAAACACATCTGATTGGATTATAAATGGATTTTGATCTGCATCATTTATTGTGTATTCAGAATGAGGAACTGCAGTTTGTCAGAGGTCAGCTGTGATAATCTGGTCTCAGCTCTGAAGTCCAACCCCTCCCATCTGGGAGATCTGGACCTGAGTAAGAACAATCTGCAGGATTCAGGAGTGAAGCTGCTGTGTGGTTTTCTGGAGAGTCCACACTGTAGACTGGAGACTCTGAGGTCAGACACCATTTTTTCCTTCTGTGCTGAGATTAATATGATGTGAAAGTTGTGGTGACAGTAAAGTGCAGACATAAGGCTGATATTATACTGATCCACACTGAGTATCTTAATGCTAAAGTCTGTTTTCTTCTTCAGTGGTGCTAAAGTTACATAATTTATTTTTTATTCAGGTTGTGGGGCTGCATTTTGTCAGAGATCAGCTGTGATTATCTGGTCTCAGCTCTGAAGTCCAACCCCTCCCATCTGAGAGAGCTGGACCTGAGTGACAACAAGCTGAAGGATTCAGGAGTGAAGCTACTATGTGGTTTTCTGGAGAGTCCACACTGTAGGCTGGGGACTCTGAGGTCAGTTCACTGACTTTTTGTCCCTTGTAGATCTGATATTTAAAGCTGCAGTAGGTAACTTTTATAAAAAATATGTTCCCCACGTGCATTAGTGAGCCTTGACCGCCCATGACACTGTCTCTGGTTCAGCACTGTTCCTTACTTGAACCATTTTTGATAGGTACTGACCACTGCAGTCAAGGAACACCCCACAACGCTCCAGGGTTGGAGATGCTCTGACCAGTTGTCTACCCGTCACAATGTGGCCCTTATCAAAGTCGCTCAAATCCTCACACTTTCCCTTTTTCCTGCTTATAATGCATCAACTCTGAGGACAAAATATTGTCTAATATATCCCACCCACTGACAGGAGCTCCGATAACCACATAATCAGTGTTATTCACAGTGCTCATAATGTTATGGCTGATTGGTGTAAATGGATTTTTACTTTATTCAGATTGGGGGACTGCAGTTTGTCAGAGATCAGCTGTGATCATCTGGTCTCAGCTCTGAAGTCCAACCCCTCCTATCTGAGAGTTCTGGAGCTGAGCTTCAACAACCTGCAGGATTCAGGAGTGAAGCTGCTGTGTGGTTTTCTGGAGAGCCCACACTGTAGACTGGAGACTCTGAGGTCAGACACAGACATTTTTTACTTCTGTGATGAGATTAATATGACATGAAAGTGTTTTTATTTGTGTTTGGCTGCACAACATGAGTTTGTATAGATGGAGCCACTGGTGGAGCTGGCAGAGGTTAAGAGCCAAAGTCACTAAGTCTTTATTGAAGCAGCAGCGCGTTGTCATTAATATTATTGAGAGCTCTTTTAACCTATTTGTATTTTACAGTTTCGACCTGCAGTTGGGTTCAGGTGTTTGGAGTTTCCATTTTCTAAACTTGTACATTCTAAACCTTCTTCAGCTCTGAACAAATGATTAAACACTGAATGATTTCAAGCAGGAACATTGTCTTCTAAACTTACATCTTTTATTCTTTATTCAGATTGAGGGGCTGCAGCTTGTCAGAGATCAGCTGTGATTATCTGGTCTCAGCTCTGAAGTCCAACCCCTCCCATCTGAGAGAGCTGAACCTGGGAGCAAACTACCTGCAGGGTTCAGGAGTGAAGCTGCTGTCTGATCTTGTGGAGAGTCCACACTGTAGACTGGAGACTCTGGAGACACTGAGGTCAGTAAAAGGTTGGAGTCAGTCCATGCTGGTTTCAGCAGTATTGTACTAAACACAGTTAGTATCAAAGCAAAGATCCAGTATTTGCTGCTTTCCTCAGGGAAGCTGTGAGAGGAGGATGGTGACAGACTTCAGGGTTGGACAGAAAGACAGAGAGAGAGACAGAGAGAGAGAGAGAGAGAGAGAGAGAGAGAGAGAGAGAGAGAGAGAGAGAGAGAGAGAGAACAGTCAGCCAATCAGATGAGCCAGAAGCTTGATGTGATCATGTGTTTGAGTTGATGTGAAGACAACTGTTGTTGTTGTGTTCATGTCTACAGGAAATAAAGCTGGATTCCAGCTGACAGCATTACAAGATGTACAGAGACAGTGGTCCTCATTCATCAAACTGTTGTAACATCAAATCTGATCTCAAAGTGTAGAGTGGAGAGGAGAGCTTCATCCAGCAGTGACTGACAGAGGTATCACAACCAGTGGAGATGACTCTCGTAGCTGCAGTCTGAACTGCTCTAAGATATCATCAGTGTATCTGGACTACTCTGCTGCTGCCCTGTGGAAAGATGGAGATTTGCAGTTAATTTCCACATTATACTTCTAATTGATTTTGGTATTTGATGTGAAAAATCATAAGAAAAAAATAAGGGAAGGAAGATCTTGCAGATTTATCTGTGTGCCCATTTTCTGTCCATCTGTCAATGCTCCGTCGCTCAGTTGTGTGATAAAGTAGTCTACTATTACTGTTGGGTTTTTTGTTCTATCCACACAACATAGTGACTAAAATCATCAGTGCAACCACTGATGGCTATGCATGGCTTCTGCTTATCATACAAATCCACATGCCATAGCACTTTGGGACCTTTGTTGTGGGACTCCCTGTGAATCAGTCGCCATTCCTGCCTGTATGTACGACACCAAATGGGGAGGGGTCACCACCAAAACAGTCTGATCATTAATCGTAATAATCATAATGTTATACACAGGGCACAGCGCCTGCTGTTATCAGATTTTACTGTCATTTATGATTGTGTATATCTGTCCTCTCCTCTGTAGGACAGCCAGCAGGACTCACAGGCTGCATCCCAAGTCTCTTAGACTTAAAAGATTATCTTTAATCTCGAAACATCTACTTTATTCTCAATATTTAGACTTTATTCTCAATATTGAGACTTTATTCTCAATATTTATAATTTATTTTCAATATTTAGACTTTATTCTCAAAATGCAAAATGCAAACAAATCTTCCACCTTCCACTTTATTTTTTACTCATGTGTGGCCCTCATACTCTTTTGTAAATACCAGACTTTTCTCATAGTTTAACAGATAACTGTTTGTAACAAAAAGATAAAACCTGTTGAAAGTTCGGATTTAAACGAAGCTTATATATCTTTAATCTTTTAAAATAGTCTATTTTTCTAGTATATCCAAACAGATTGTGTTGTTGCAGTTATTGATGCTATTTATCTATTTTCATTTTGTTATTTGGTCCATTGTTAAATATTGATTAGTTACTTAAAGTTACTGAAATATCTGGATTTTGGTGAGAAGTCAGTGCTGTGTTGAACACTGGTCACACATTGAACACCAGAACATTTGTACAGCATACAGACAAGTTTTTTCTTTTGACACGAAATCAGTCTGCAAACATATGTTTAGAATTTATGTAATGTGTCATTATTAGCAATTATAATCATCTATGTGTATATATTTGTTCTGTTTTCTCATATTGTATCAAAAACACAAATCTGTATATTAAAATCACATCTTACTTTTGATTGATTGACCTGAACAAAGTCTGGATTCCATCAAAGCTTTACTGTAGTTTCTCAGTTTGCAGTCGGCTGTTTATGTCTTCATTAGACTCTGAGCATAAAACAAAGGTGGAAAGCCATCTGACTCTGACTCGCACACTGAGAAAGATCATGTTTTATTCACACAATTAAGGTGAATCAGTTTCCAACAAGTGCTCGTCCAGTCTGTTGTAACACAGAAGAATTAAACTTTAGAGACTTAAAGGCAAATTCCATACATCAACAATAAAAAGGAAGCCCCAGAGTTAAACTGAAAACAGGATTAGAAGCTGCTGTCACTCTCAAACTGATTCGCTGGTCTTAATACAGGAGGTCATGTTCAGTAATAACTCAGTTTGAGGTGAGGAGTTGACGTCCTCAGTAACAGGAGATGATGGTGATGATGGAGCTGCAGCTGATTCACTCTGAAAAATCAAGAAGTTTGCAGAAGCAGAATTTACTGGTGCAAGTTATAGGAAGATATTAAAGAATCAGTTGAATAAAAAGTATTTAATGTATGTCAGATATTTACAGCAAGTTTAAAGTGTTTTTATAAACTCAGAAGTGACAATTTTTCGGCCTCCTTGTAAAGTGACTGAATCACTTAACTGTGTTGAAGCACCCTCTACAGGTAAGAAACTTAAAATTAAAGATCAACTTTAAGTTCTTACCATCAGCACAAAAGTTAGTGTTTTGCAGTGATTCCATATAAAATGTTTTAAAAGAAAATAACAAACATAAAAGAAACAAAAGAACAGTGAACAGTAGTGATTAAATTAATTTACTGTATATATACACAATAATAAAGTTGGAAATGTATGAGCTTAAATTAATATACACATTATCAAGCAGTTCTAGTTGATGTTGCTGAGAGCTGCTTGCTACAGTTTCTCATGAGTTTCTGAGGATTTGCTCACATTAATCCAATACAGTCACATTCAGAGCAGCACAGGTTGTTGGGGATCTTGTAGAGTTGCTATCATACATAACTTGAACACAAGTTATTGGTCAAATACATCCAAGTGGAACTCAAGATAAACTTTTATTTTGGTTAGAAAAACGTTTCATGTTCAAACCACTGAGCCAGTTTGTTTTTGGATGAGTTGTGCATTATTTTACACTCTGCTTGTGTGTTTATTTGAGTTATTTTCAGTTAATTTAATTAATTACAGGTGCTTCTGTATTCAGTGTGTAAGATATACTTACCACAAGGAGTTTTCTCATAGTACCATTTCTGGTCTTGTTCCTCTCTGTGTCAAACACAGATTAATCCCTAATTTACTTTCAAAAAGATTATTGTCATGAGTTTAAGATTGTGGTGTTATAGATAATCACAAAGAATGATTAAATAATAACAAGAATAACATAATAATCCAGTGTATTGCACACTGATCCGGGTATTGCCCCTTAATCGACTTATAGCACATTAGCAGCACCAGTTTAATGACTGATTGACTCAGAGTTTTGACGCTATGAGGGAGGAGTTAAAGAGTTTGATGGCCACATATATGAATGACTTCATCTCGGTGAAATGAGTCTTGCACTGAAAGTCCTCCTGTGTTTGACCAGTTCATTGTGGAGTGGGTGGGAGACATTGTCCAACATGGTATGAAGCTTGGACAGCAGCCTCCTCTCAGATCTCCATCTCTATATCAGCTCAGAGTATCATCCCCAAAAAATGAAATGGGGGGGCATCCTGTAAGTCTGTAAAAGAAAACAATCATTTAATTTAGTTTACTGCATTTTAGTTGTAATCTAAACACAACATTTTATTTACATCATTTAAACATCATTCAACTACCAACATTTTGATAAAAACTCAATTTCATTGTCTTTTCAAGCCAAGAGAGACGCTCATGAACACATCATGCTGAACAGCTGATCTGTGTGAGCACCACACACAAACACACCCTCTCTCTCTCTCTCACACACACACACACACACACACACACACACACACACACACACACACACACACACACACACACACACACACACACACACACACACACACACACACACACAAACTCACCTGAGTTCCTGGACATAGAGAAGGGAGGAGCTGACCAGGTAGCTTACATAACACCAGGGAGGAAACCATGCAGGTCAAAGTATTAAGTTGGTTCAGTATCCATTTTGAGTTGACGGAGCAGAAAGAGGAAAACTCAAGGCTGAGGCAGGGTGAGTGTTAATACAACATTATTATTATTTTACTAAAAGACTAGATAACATTAGCAGTTAATTGGATTTGTACCAAATTAACACTTTACTTTTATTTTAATCAGTAGAAAATTACATAATTGTTTATGCAGATTTGTATTTGAATTAATGAACAAATTTGATCTATTTTGTGTGAAAAAAAGTGATTGTGTGATGCCCAGCCCACAAGACACTACTTACTTCGGCACTTAAATCAGCATTTCTGCCACACCTCATAAGATCATAAGACGCTCAGAACACATCATGTTGCACACACACACACACACACACACACACACACACACACACACACACACACACACACACACACACACACACACACACACACACACACACACACACACACACACACACACACAGTTAAACTCACCTGATTTCCTGTAAATGGAGAGGGGAGGATCTGACCAGGTATACATAACACCAGGGAGGGAACCCTGAAAGTGGTTCAGTCTCCATTTAAGGTTGACAGAGCAGATGGAGGAAAACTGAAGGCTGAGGCAGGGTGAGGGTTAATACAACATTATTATTAATTTACTGTGAAAGTCTCTGAGTCAGTTTTCTTCCTGTGGACTGTAGAGGACAGAAGTGTTAGAATGAACTCAACAGTTTGTTTCATCTGTGGATACAAAGTTGTGATTGACTGAATAATCCAGATTAAACCTACTGTAACCCAAGAAAACAAGTACAGGTTTAAAGAAAAGTGACCAGGTAGAGTTCTATATTATATTGTATACTCTATATACTATACAGAGTACTGTGTGCGTGTGTGCGTGTGTGTTACTTCTTGTTCTCTCAGTCTAGCCAGTGACTCTTGAACAAACCTGTTCCTGTTTCTTCTGCTCTGAGCTCACAGTATGTTAATATTTTATCTCTCCGACTGACTTAAGTGTAGAAGATGAGTGTTTGTGTGGAGGAAGAGGAGGACAGAGCAGAGTGTCCAGTGTCTAACTGTCTGTCTATGAAGAGTCATCAGTCCAATGATATTCCTCTAAACTTCAGTAATGAGCCTGGACCCTCAGACACAAAGTAAGAGAACCAAGACCAACTCATTAATGACTCATTTTCAGTTATTTCTGCAGATGTCATGTTTTCTGTTTATTTTGTGTTTGTATATTACATTTTCTATCAAAATTTATTTTTTAACTAAACTTTTATAAACTTTTTGTGACTCTGACAAAGAGAAATCATCCAGCAGCTGTCAGTCACCCTGAAAAACTAAATCTAATTTAAAAGGAATTATACAAACTTTTAATTTAATAAAATTTTTAATACAAAATCTCTAATTTATCAACAGTAACAGCAGTTTGTTTATTTACAGTTTCCTAAACGGCTTTATCTTCAGGGAATTTATCAAGGATTCATGTGATACAAATAAAAATGTTTGTGTTTGCAGAGTTCAGTACAACAGACAGAGAGCAGAGTCTCCAGTGTCCAGCTGTCTGTCTATGAAGTCTGATCAGTCCAATGATATTCCTCTGAACTTCAGTAATGAACCTGGACCCTCAGACACAAAGTAAGAAACTGTTTTTACTGTAAACTGACTGATTTTCATGATGCAGAACTATTAGTGCAGACACTGTTTCAAAGTAAAATGTAAATGTAAAATGTTTATTTCTTTAGCAAAACACTTTAGAATTTATATTTCATATATTATATCATAATATGTATATATTTTTGCTCTGATGTTGACGTCACTGTAAATATTTGTTGTTTAAGACAAATCTCAATATTTTTCATCAACAATCAACAAATAATTTTAGTAATGAAGAAATATCTTCACAGAGAGAGGAAGAGGAGTCATGTCTCTGTGGAGCGGCAGCTGTGCTGCTGTGCTTTGTGTCAGGACGTCCTGAAGGATCCAGTCTCTATCAGCTGTGGACACTGGTTCTGCAGACAGTGCATCACCTCATACTGGGACCAGTGTGCTTCATCAGGAGACTCCTCCTGTCCCCAGTGTGGAGAAAGATCCAGAACAAGAGCTGGACAGCAGACAGCCAGTCAGACCAGCTCTCTACAAAGTAAGACTGTACATCTTAATCTAATCTTAACCGTATCTGCTACATTTTATTATTACAGCTACATGAATGACTGCCTGACCTAGAGGTCATTAACAGGCCTGAGGTGGTCTCCTCCCTCAAACCAAATCACTTCTGTGTGGAGACGCTTGATGACAACTATGCTCGTTACTGGAAGTCAGTGCAATAAAAGCCAACACTTTATCAATACACTGTTCAACAAGTAAAACCATGTAAACCTGTGGAGAAGTGATATCTGCTCTGTCCGGTTTCTCTCATCCACCTCCTCTATGTTTTACACACGCACAGCGCTGAGCTCAGCTAATAGTGAATTGCTACCAAAATAAAAGCTGTCTGTTTAGTTCAGCTTAGCAAATTCTTGTTTTCAACTGAGCTGCTGGCTGAGACAAACAAGGAGAGTCTCACATCAGAGTCAGAATGAATGACAGATACTCTAACCCTCATTCAGTATTTTGATGTCAGGAATATTATTTCTTTTTATTGACATTTTATATTTGTTTTGAGATATTATTGAGTTCTTATAGTGACTTTGCTGTTGTAAACATTACAGTTCCTGCTTTAGAAACAACATGTAGTTTTATTCAAAATATTACATTCTTAACCAGTTCTTAATTAACAGAAAACCACACTGACATAGGAACTGCATAGCTAATATGAACTCTGTATTGTCTGTTTGTTTTTATCGCAAGTCATATCGTCATGGCAATATTGAACAGTGTTATTGCACATCATAGATATTCCTCATATTGTGCACTGTGTGGGCTTCATAAGGTTTACTTCTGTTTATATTTGTATATTGTCAAATATTCTTTGTTTTGACTAAAACCTTTGTCTCTTTTTAGTGAGTGGTGGTCTGCAGGAGGTTTTAGATTAACTTAAGATCAGTCTGCAGATGAGATGTAAACATGTGACTGAAGGAACTGATGAAACAGGAAGTGGAACCCTCCTCAACAGGATCTACACTGAGCTCTACATCACAGAGGGACAGAGTCAAGAGGTCAATACCCAACATGAGGTGAGGCAGCTTGAGACAGCTTCCAAGATGGAGACCCTCCATGACACTCCAATCAAGTGCCACGACATCTTTAAAACCTTACCTGACCAACAGAGACACATCAGAGTGGTTCTGACGAACGGCGTCGCTGGCGTTGGAAAAACCTTCTCAGTGCAGAAGTTCACTCTGGACTGGGCAGAGGGTTTGGAAAACCAAGATGTCAGTCTGGTGATTCTGTTTTCGTTTAGGGAACTGAACTTGATCAAAGATCAAAAACAGTACAGTCTTCTCACACTGCTCCATGTTTTCCATCCAACATTACAGAAGATCACAGCAGAGCAGCTCACTGTCTATAAACTTTTGTTCATCTTTGACGGCCTGGATGAAAGCAGACTTTCACTGGATTTCCACAACAAGGTGGTTGTTTCCAACGTCACACAGAAGTCTTCAGTGAACTTGCTGTTGACAAACCTCATCAATGGGAATCTGCTTCCCTCGGCTCTCGTCTGGATAACTTCCAGACCTGCAGCAGCCAATCAGATCCCTCCAGAATGTGTTGATAGGGTAACAGAAGTACGAGGCTTCACTGACGCGCAGAAGGAGGAGTACTTCAGGAGGAGAGTCAGTGATGAAGATCTGTCCAGCAAAATCATCTCACACGTCAAGACCTCCAGGAGCCTCCACATCATGTGTTTAATCCCAGTCTTCTGCTGGATCACTGCTACAGTTCTGGACCACATGTTGACTACAGACCAGAGAGGAGAGCTGCCCAAAACCCTGACTGACATGTACTCACACTTCCTGCTGGTTCAGACAAAGAGGAAGAAGCAGAAGTATGATGAGGGACATAAGAAGAGTCCACAGGAGCTGATGGAGGCTGACAGGGAAGTTCTTCTGAAGCTGGGGAGGCTGGCGTTTGAACAGCTGGAGAAAGGAAACATCATGTTCTACCAAGAAGACCTGGAGCAGTGTGGTCTTGATGTCACAGAGGCCTCAGTGTACTCAGGACTTTGTACAGAAATCTTCAAAAGAGAGAGTGTGGTCTTTCAGAAAACAGTCTACTGCTTTGTTCATCTGAGCATTCAGGAGTTTCTGGCTGCAGTCTACATGTTACACTGTAACACCAACAGGAACACAGACGTACTGGAGGACTTCCTGGGAAAAGACTTGGGCTACAAATACAAATTGCATCTTGAAAAAGGCCTATTTCTGGATGTCTTTCTGATGAGCACCATGGAGAAATCCTTCAAAAGTAAAAATGGCCACCTGGACCTGTTTGTTCGCTTCCTTCATGGCCTCTCTCTGGAGTCCAACCAGAGACTCTTAGGAGGCCTGCTGGGTCAGACAGACAACAGTCCAGAAATCATCCAGAGAGCCATCAACAACCTGAAGGACATGAACAGGGATGATATCTCTCCTGACAGAAGCATCAACATCTTCCACTGTCTGATGGAGATGAACGACCACTCAGTCCATCAGGAGATCCAAGAGTTCCTGAAGTCAGAGAACAGATCAGAGAAGAAACTCTCTGAGATCCACTGTTCAGCTCTGGCCTACATACTGCAGATGTCAGAGGAGGTTCTGGATGAGTTGGACCTGGAGAAGTACAACACATCACAGGAGGGACGACTGAGACTGATTCCAGCTGTGAGGAACTGCAGAAAGGCTCTGTAAGTCCAGATGTGATTAACATTACAAATCAATGTAAAGTTGAAGCCATCAGTATTAAAGTAAAGATTATATTGTTTAGTTCTTAACAAAGAACGTCTTTTCAGTTTACAGACGAGTCCATTCAAATACCACCATACACACAGAGAGAGAGAGAGAGAGAGAGAGAGAGAGAGAGAGAGACTTTACTAATGAAGGTTCATTAATTTTAGTAGAGCCTTTAGAGTGAGCCATGATGCACAGTAGCAGCACTCTGACAGTGTTTGACCTGAATGTAACAGAACCTTAACTAGTGTTATTGGTAACACCTGTGTTTACCCTCCTGTTTTATATCAAAATGGCTCCAGTGAAAAAGGTATATTATACTATTAATACAACTCTTTGCACCTTACCTACCTATTTATCTAAAAAAAAGTATTTTATTCTATTGTTGTATTTTATTCTATTGATGTATTTTATTCTATTTTAATGTACCTGGCTGCTATGATGACCCAATTTCCCTCCGGGGATTAATAAAGTGTCACGACTGAACTATGGACCAGAACCCAAATGCACAACTCTCAGACTAAAGTTTCAAAAAATCCCTCTAACGAGGTAATACTAAGACTAAGAAAACAAACAGAAAATCACTCTATACGAGGAAATACTAAGACTAAGAAAACAAACAGAAAATCACTCTTTAACAAACAAAGTAACAAACCAACAAGACCTGACAATGGCAGCGGTATGGATAAAGCGCTGGTTCTCTGACACATGGGACAAGACGAACTGACACAGGACAAAGGGAGACGCGGACTATACACACACACAAGGTAAGGGCACAGGTGGAAACAATCAGGGCAGAGACAGGTAATCCCAAGAGCGGGAAAACAGACAAAAGGGAGAAAGTAAAACTGGTGACAAGAGACAGACAGGAAGTGGAACCAAAATAAAACAGGAAATCACAAGACAACATAGACATGAGACAAAACTGAATGAATTAACTTAACAAAGTTTCCTGGACATGACATGAAGTATATCTATCTATCTATCTATCTATCTATCTATCTATCTATCTATCTATCTATCTATCTATCTATCTATCTATCTATCTATCTATCTATCTATCTATCTATCTATCTAATGCAATAGGAGTCATTAAATTAATTTAATGGGAAAAGCAACTGGAGCAACATAATAAGATGCATCTGGGCCTGGGGCTGCATTAGGAAGATTTACACGGTACAATAACCATCTCAGAATCACAGTTTAAATGTATAGGCCTACAGTATTACACAATTAATAATTATCAGTTACAGTAATGAAAACAGAAGGATGTGTTCTTTTTGTTTGTTTGTTTTTGGTTGAACGCTGTACTATAATTTCACAAAATATAATATACTATATATTTTAAATAACACTAATACAACATAATTCAATAGTGTAGATAAACAAATGTACATAGTATGATTTGATACCACAGTATATATGTATATGGTATTGGTATACTGGAGCAGAATCACACACACACAATATACACACAAATCACAGCACTTGTGGACAGGAGGAGCTCAAGTTTCAAATCACAGACCTTGTGATCTATGACTGACCAGCTGAGCTACAGCCGCTCATGTTAATGTGCTTTGTGATGCAAAATGCACAGAGTCTGTTTTTATAGTAAAATGTGTTTTATTTATGTTCTGTTATCCCAGACTTTCTTCATGTGGACTCTCAGAGACTCACTTTGAAGTTGTGGCCTCAGCTCTGAAGTCCAACCCCTCCCATCTGAGAGATCTGGACCTGAGTAACAACAAGCTGCAGGATTCAGGAGTGAAGCTGTTGTGTGCTGGACTGGAGAGTAAAAACTGTAGACTGGAGACTCTGAGGTCAGTTCATGTATTTTGCTCTTGTACAGTGTATATTTACAAAATTTATATACGTAACAGAAGCTTTAAGTTTCCTTCGGTTCTCTTGTTTTCTGCGTTTGTCAGAGCACAAATTACAAAGTTTGTCAGTTTGTCAAAAAAGAACCTAAACACAAATTTTCATTGATAACATGGGGTGTTTACGTCTTTACAACTCTATTAGCTAGACACCTCATTGTATTCACATGGAGGCATGCTCTTCCTCCGTCACACAGTAGCTGGTTCAAGGAGAGCCTGAACCACAACAAACTTGAAATAGCTTGATGTTCACTTACAGACTCAAGCAAATCCTATGACAACACCTGGAAGCCCTTTATTGAATATCTGGATATGGCTACCATCCATCTAGCCCTTACATAGTGTTCGGGTACGTATTTGACAGCAGTAAAAATACCCTACATGTCATTCTTTTAACCTGAAATTTGATGTGACCCAAAATACACAAAAATTCAAATATTGTAAAATGTTATACTTTTGCACAGGTGTTACAAATTTTTGTACATTGATGTTGTTCAGGGTCAAATTTGACCTGGATCTAGTGAGATATATTTTAGACCCTCTAGAGTGGGTCAAATCAAGGAAAATGTTTGTTCTAGGAAGTCTTGAAACTGTGAAACTGTATATTCTATGTATGTGTGTATTTTTGTGAGACAGTGGTGACAGAGTTGGGGGGGGGCCTTGACTCTGTCAAAATAACTGTTCGCCCAGGTTCCCACAGGGTCAGGCCCCTGCTGGTCTTGGGGGGCCATGGGGGAACCTCAAAACAGTGACATAGTACAACAGCATAGGAGTGGTCATATATCGTGCACATAAGAAGGTCATGCAGAGGTCAGAGCGTGCCTTGACACAGAGACTTGCATCTGCATCTGTACGTGCACCTGCAATATAACAATATAATCTAAAAATAGACAAATTAGAATCAAATCAATGTGTGTGTGTGTGTGTGTGTGTGTGTGTGTGTGTTTGGGAGGAGGGGGGGTTAGGGTTAATAAGATTATAAAAGGTACCAGAGATGCCCTTTCAGTGGCAGAAGTACAGAGGTCATGGCAGCAAGACTCACTCTTCAAGAGGTCCTTGATCAGATCTTCCACGATGAAGAAGGTGAGAGTGATTTGGAGGAGGATGTGTCAGAGCAAGAAGATAACATAGAGGAAAACTCTGATTACAGCCAATCTGATGAAGATGCCACTGAGGGAGAGGAGCAGGCAGCAAGAGAGATGTTTATGTCAAAAAACAATCTGTTGGTCCTCACTTTCACAGCAAGTTTCAGGCAGGATGAGGGTGGAAAATGTCATTCGAATGAGTCCAGGACCCACAAGATTGGCCACAATATATTTAAATCATTATAGCTGTTATGTTTTCATGTCTTAGGCATAACAGGACATGATATAGTGTGATATACAGTTAGGCCCAGAAA